TGACACTACTGTCCAAACTTGCACAGCATCCCTGAAAGACAGCGTAACTAAGGCTACATGCTAATTCCTCTGTCTAAAGATGAATGTTGACATTTTGAAACCACCTAATAAATTACAACCAGGTGATGCATTACACAATTTCTGCTCAGCGCTCATTGATACCTTTTAAACCTGATTTGACTGCAAAATCATCATCCAGTTTCTGAAAGGGACGCGTATTTTAAAACTCCCTTTAAATCCATCAAAACCACTGTGGATTAAAATTATGTACGTGTCAGACCAACAGCTGCAGAGTAACCGAGAACACTGCAGTCTGCATCATGTTATATATAGATACATACCAGCCAGCTTTTTAGTTAGAATCACCAGCACGGGATAGCGTCTGTGTCAGTCCCACTTCCCTCCTCTATCTGTAGCAGAGCAGCAGTAAGAGACAATTGGAGTTATAAAACCTACAAAGCAGACTCAAGGGTTCTTTTCTTAGGCATTTTAAATTAATATGAAATGCAATGCTAGAACAGAGAGTCACGGCAGTCTCCCAAGGGCCCAGACTGTCCAAGTATGAAAATGGATTGGCTGATTTATATATTTGCTAACTTCTCCTCTGAGTCTTTAGCAGCAACTAGGAACAATAGTTTAACACTTCAGACGTGACACTGTCACTTAGATGCAGGTGACGTTTCCCCCCTTCTTATATGCTGTGTTTTCTGTGACTGTGTCCCTCTTCCATCCCAGCGAGACCCTCAGATCGGAGACAGAAACACTGCTAGAGTTTGAAGAGATCCAAGTGCTGAATGTAAATGAGTCCTCCAGTTATGCAGAAAATGGGCTTTACACAATAGCTACTCACAACTGTATCATCCTCATGCCTTCATCCTGACCTGGAAAGCATCAGCCTGTACAGATGGAAAAAACAGTCTGTGATCTCTGTCAGGAAAATACCAGCAGCAGCACCTTTTGTGGCAGACATCTTTAGGAAGAGAACAGACCAAGGCTAGCAAATTCCTTTGCACAGGTCTCCAGATAGGATGAAGTTAGGTAGCATGAAGTCAGTAGCATAAAACAGTGTTAAAAGCCTCTGTCACTTACTTCCAACTTCCTTCCTTGGCTGTGACACCCCAGGTGTTAAGCCACAATCAAATCACTTTACCTTCCTGTGCTTTAGTTCCTCCTATTAAGCAGATACTGACCTTTCTTTATTATGCACTCTGAGACACAGAATGAAAAGCAGTACGTAAGAGCTGATTGTTATTATAGCTACTAATAATAACCCTTGAGCTGTGTAAGTCTCTCAGGTAAAATAACTCTGTATGACGAAGCAAATCTCCCAAATCCTTCCAAATCTCCACTTGAACTTTACAGTCTAGATGGTGAAGGCAGGGCAGGGAAGAGGGGGGCAACTGCAAATCATTTCTTCACTGGAAACAGAACTTATTCTGACAGGACAGAAATGTGTGAAACACTTGTACCTTGGCAGTAGGGATCTGTTTTGTAACACAACTCCGCCAAACCAGTTTTGCCTTGTTGTTCAAAATAATTCAACTTTCATTAAACGTTTAGTTCTGAGAGCTTTAATCTATCTCCTTCACAGTCGTATTTGTAGTAAGGGGACAAACCTCATTAAATGAGAACCAGTTTCTTTCTCTGAACATTCTTCTGAATTTGGATGTTTGCTCTTTCCTGAGGTTCAGAAAGATTCGAATAAAGGCTTCATCCTCCCAATGAGTGGAAACATTAAGTGATTTTATCCATATTTTCAAAATATGCAAGTTGTCTCCCCTCATTCAATTTTCGCAACTTTTTTTTTCCCCTTAACAACATAAAGAAGAATTGCTCCTTTACTCAGAGATGGAAGCCATGCAAGGGGAACAGTCTTCATAAGTATTCTTCCAAAACAAAACTCGATTGATGTCTTTTCTACTTCAGAAATGGGAGCACCGTGCTTTCCACAGGAGTCAGGAACTTAAAACCACAGAGTTTGCGTAGGACAGAGACACTTCACTCCACACCACTGCTGAATGGAAAGCAATTAGGAGACTCTTGTTCTGCAAGGCTATCTTACTGTCTTTGAAACCACACTGAGACAAACTAACGTAGGACTGGATTGCATTATATACATACAAAATATTGTAAGAGCCAGTAAAAGAAGAATCTAAAAGCAGTGATATAAGCTGTCCATTCTGAATGGCAGAGTACTGGCTAGAATGACACCGGGCAGCCACAGTTATGACGCGCTTTGCTAGCTTACTGCTGTCCCAGTGTAAGACCTCAGGGCTTCTGAAGTTCATGGATTGATTCTCACTGACTTCAAAAACAAACCAGGCTTTTACTTACTGTAGCTTTTGTCTCCGGAGTCCACACACACTCGGTTGCTGATTAAGCACTACATCAAGAAAAACAACCTTCAAACCTACTTCGTTTCAAAGCTAAAATTAAATAGATCACGCCTACCTTTTTTTTTTTTTTGTCAAAGAAAGAAATGACCAATGATCACATAATGTACAATTCAGACAGAAGGTCATTTCATATCAGGATAGACAACTCAGAATGAAAAATATTTTAGGTATATAGTACAGTATGTCAGAATGACACAGACATGAAGAAAAATGGTCTTTTAGCTGGGCCAGAATTCTGTCATATTTAAAAGAATGTAGTCCTCTTCAAATCTTCATAATAATTGGTCCCTATTCCCTGCTCAACTGTAACATTATTTAACAACTCGAATCCATAATTAAGTTCATCATCCCAGCGGAATTTTGAAAAGAGGCTTAATTTTCTGCAAGAGAAATGGAGACGCTGCGGCCTGCCTAGCAGGGTAGCAAATCAATGACTCAGCAACGGGCAGTTGAAAGCAGATTGGTTTTAATCTCTTAATTCCTAACATATGCATATGTTGAAGGGTAGTCTTTGTGACCCTGGTAATATTTGTACTGCACAACGTGTATGTTCATTTTTTGTACGCAGCACTTTATGATGAAAAAAACAAACTTTAGTTGTTTATAAACACTTAAGAGTACAGTTTGGAAAGCTTAGAGCCAGTTTTTGGAAACCTGTATTCAGATATGGCTAGGCTTTTGTTTATGTCAAGTGTATATGAAATACTGGACTACTATCAGACTGCAAATTCTAGTATTTGCTTTTTTTATGCAAGCCATGATACCAAAAGTTTTTGCTTTGTTTACAAATTACAAACAGTGGGTACAAAAAATCCCACTGATCCTTATTAACAATTCATATTCTTAATGGTTATTAATGGCTTTTGTTGAGGACTCGTGAGCATATGCACTAGAAAGTACATATAATTTGACCACGTAATGTATTTTGCTAGCATTAGGAAAAAAGTTCAGTTTTATTTAGTGAAACCCGTTCCAAACTGTGACAAAAATCACAAAATCTGAAATCCAGTATCCCAGGAGGTTTTCAGATCTGTCTAGGTTTGAGTCTACAGATTTGAGTTCTGCACAAAGTTTTGGTTCTTGTTTAGTCACAAATTGGAAGAGCTCACTTTCCAGTTTATGAAGAGCACGGTCAGATTCTCCCAAGAATTAAGCATGAGCAGCCACTAGTCTTTGAAAAGCAAATCATTGCACGCAGACATTTATTTCTGCTTTTCATGATTTACTGAAGTATATCCCCAGGCTTCCTTTCTCACTACCATCAGTTAATTTAAGTAAACTATGTTAATAAAGTGAAAAACCTCTGTGCTCCGCAGGGTCCCAGGCATTTTTTTTTGTTTACTCTTCTTTTTACCTCTCTGTAACAGTTCTTTTGCAACCACGAGAGGGATAGTCATACACTTAGGTTCAACAAGGCTCAGTACCGGGTCCTGCACTTGGGTCACAACAACCCCATGCAACGCTGCAGGCCTGGGGGAGGAGTGGCTGGAGAGCTGCCCAGTGGAAAAGGACCTGGGGCTGTTGGTTGACAGCCACCTGAACATGAGCCAGCAGTTGCCCGGGTGGCCAAGAGGGCCAATGGCATCCTGGCTTCTATCAGAAATAATGTGGCCAGCAAGACCAGGGAGGTGATAGTGCCCCTGTACTCGGCACTGGTGAGGCCGCACCTTGAATCCTGTGTTCAGTTTTTGGCCCCCTCACTACAAGAAGGACATCGAGGTGCTGGAGCGTGTCCAAAGAAGGGCAACGAAGTTGGCAAAGGGTCTAGAGCACAAGTCATACGAGAAGCAGCTGAGGGAGCTGAGGTTGTTTAACCTGGAGAAGAGGAGGCTGAGGGGAGACCTTATTGCTCTCTACAACTACCTGAAAGGAGGTTGTAAGCGAGGTGGAGGTCAGTCTCCTCCCAGGTAGTAAGCAACAGGATGAGAAGAAATGGGCTCAAGTTGTGCCAGGGGAGATTTACATTAGATATTAGGAAAAATTTCTTCACAGAGAGAGTGGTTAGGCATTGGAACAGACTGCCCAGGGAAGTGGTGCAATCACAGTCCCTGGAAGCGTTCAAAAAACGTGTGGATGTGGCGCTTAGGGACATGGTTTAGAGGTGGACCTGGCAGTTAGGTTAACAGTTGGACTTGATGATCTCAGAGGTCTTTTCCAACCTTAATGATTCTATGATTTCATTGCAATTCTTTCAGTTTTATTCCACTGGCATTTAGACTTTTGATTCCCGCATAAACACACAACATGCATAAGCTGGTTTCCAACAGTAATGGCCACTGTACTATACTCGAGTTATGAAGCTTAGAATTTTTGTATTTTATTAAAGTCATTTCTGTAAAAAAGAAACTAAAATTACATGAAAACTACTTCAAATTTTGACACTTGAAGTTATACTCAAGTTCTACCTCCAGAAGTCCCTCATTTCATGCACATCCATCGCTTTAACACAGTATCTAGGCCACAAAGCCTGTGTTATATCAAGTAATCTAGATCTGAATATTGCCTCTTTGAACTCTTAGCAGAAATGACGGAGAGAAAATAACATAACTTTATAACTTGTCACATACATAGAGTCAATAGTTATGGCTTCAAAAAGGCTCTTACCTTGAGAAACAAGGCTCCCTTGGAAGCCAAGGAGTCCGTTCCTCTTCCATTGGGGTAACAGTGATAGGCAGCATCCATAACAGGATAGCGGCTGGCAAAAAGTAGACCACTGTTCACAAACTTAAAGCTACAGCAGCCATGGCAACTGTAGACCCCAACATCATAGACAATGTATTCAAAATAGTGATGAAGCTGCTCTTTCAATTTCTCCGCAGCTCTTTTGTCAAACACTTCCTGCAAACACAGAAAGTCCAAGTTGGCAGGGAAGAAAGCAGAGATCTCGTGATCAAAGGTCTCATCTGTATGTTTCTTTTTCCGCACTGAAGTCTTCTTCATGATTGAAGCTTTGTAGAGGAGCTTGTTGTTGACAGTGCTTTGGTCCACTGTACCATCTCCAACGCGAACTTTGACTAAAGACTCTCGTGAGGCAGAGTAGCTGTCTAAACTCCCAGAATCTCCTTCCTTCTGTTTGTGGTTAGGTGTTTTTGAGATCTCTGCGTCACCTTCCAGTGAGGGCTCTGCTGGGCCACTGGCATGAGCCTGGCCATTGATGGTATCTGTTTCTGCGTCTGACATGTGGCCATTATCCTCTCCATTGATGCGGACAATGCAAGTGTTTTCTTCTCCCTCATTTGGCTCTCCGGGTCCACCTTTATCTTCTCTACTATCCTCACTGTTGTTTGAGCCAGAATTGTCTCCTTTATACTCCATTGATGTTGTCCTTTTGATGCCGGCATTAACAGTACGATTAGTGTTATCTCCCCCCTGGGGGGAGACCAAGCTGCTAAAACTTGCTGCACTGATGGATGTGTTGGTAGGAGAATCTATATATATTTTGATCTGTGGCCTGCTTGCCCCATTTCGGATCCTCCGGCCAATCTCTTTAGCCCTAGCCTGGGTATTGAAAACATTATTAAATCTTGCCAGAGAATCTGGCAGCAAGCAAACATTGGCACTGCCAAAGCAGAAGCTTTTCCCATTCCCTGCAGCCTTCCATTCAGTGAGCAGTGTGGCTCCATTGGCATGGTTCTTGTCTTCTAGTCTGGAGTAGATATATGGCCTTCTGGCTGACTGGAGTGGGGACCATAACAAGAAGCCAATCAGAGCAAAAGGAAGAGAGGCTACCAACAGTGCCAAGTAGATGGGAGTGGTAATAATGATGCAGAGTGCATGAAAATAGCATGGATCATCTGCTCTTTGACGTTTTTCATAGGTCGTTGGAACAAAAGAGGCCACAAGCCTATCTGCTAACCAGTAACATGGGAAAATCAGGCCCCAGGAAAAAGAATGCAGAACTGACAGAAAGCTGTTGGGAAATGGGGAAGTGTATAAAACCATTGCAACTTAATTATGGCAACACTTCAGGGCCTACTACATGATGTCACTGTGTCAAGCATCCATAAGGAACACTGGGAGAGGGCTGGGGAAAAAAGGTCCAGTCAGGAGTTTGTTTTTTTCCAGTGAGAGTCAATAACAAAATTTTAACAGCACCATTTCACTGTGTTGGAGTAAAAATGAAACAAGGCCACTGTTTTCGTCTGGCTTTTTGGCATCTATATTTGTCAAAGGATGTCATTGTTCACTGGAGGCTGCCATAACGAAACACTCCGGAGGCAAAAAGGAAATCTGTAAAAACAAATGACACAAAACATATGTAACAGTTATTAAAAGTTTAAAGCAGATTTTTTCATACCAATGTTGCCCTACAGTCTAAATTAGTTCCCTTTTTTGGTTTAATTTAGCATTTTTGATAGTCTGTTAAAGACTATGGATCTAGGGCAACTCCAACAACAAGGGACTGGTATTTCTGCAAATGAAATCAGAACATTGACCATTTAATGCACATGCCTAATGTTGTCATGAAACACATTTCTGTTATGAATTTTAGGCCTTACATTGAGAAATATAGTTTGGAGTTTCTTTTATTTTATAATCTATTCACACTAATATTTATTTATATTAGCTGTTTTCAGAACCTTGCAAATGGTGTTTAGCAGTTATTTCTAGGCTGCTCTAAAAGACTATTACATCTAGTGTTTTATCACTGAAGTTAAATTTGCTTGAATTGCCAAAGTCCTTAAAAAAAAAAAAAAAAAAAAAAAAAAAAAAAAAAAGTGATGTGATGGAGGTACAATGGCAAAGGCACCTTGTATTTAAGAGCAGAAAACATTTGTTTGCTATAAAATATTATTTGCTTTGCTGCACTTTAAAACAAAATGGGTTGATTTAAATCAATGAAAATACTCTTCATATGGTTGAATATGGTTTCAAATTTTTAATTTTCAGTTTATTAAAAATAGTAAGTCAAACTACTCTGCTTTAATATTTAGGTGTTTAATTCTCATTATTTATTTCAAGCTGTAGTTCAATTTCATTCAGCTACAGCCCACAAAAATGCCTGATGTGCTTTCCTATTAAAGGTTTCTTACATATAGTGAATACTTAAGCAAAATATAAATTAATCATAATTAACATCATTGTTTTTAAATTCCAATTTTCAGCTTTGAAAGAAACAGTACTAATTGAATCTATCAAATAAGAAAAACAGCTTCACATCTTTCCCCTGAAGACAGATGATGTCTTTCAAAAGTTGTCTTACCAGCTGGGAAATTCTGACCCGAGGTATGTAGCAAATGTCATGATTAACCAAAGACATCAAATTTTTAGGGGCCTGATCTCATAAAAAATCTTGGCCGTATACATACAGCTTACATACTTTAAAAAAGTAATTTAAGTCATTTTAATAACTTGTAGTAAGTTGAGGTTTTAACGCAGGTTTTGATAATATGAAATCTACATTATTTCAAAAAGAACAAGTACTCATATTAATCAAACGTTATCAACCTTAAGAATGGTATCTACCAATGAATGCAATGTCACTCTCCATAAACTGAAACTGTGACATTACCCAGCAAGAGGAGCAAAGCTAGGTGACTGATGAAGGCAGAATTCCCATTTATAATGTTTCAAGCTTCAAACCTAGAATGTAAACATTAAGCAGCACTGGATAAAAACCATTCACCAAATAAGCAAAAGAGAGGATATACACTGGACCATGCTTCAAAACCCATCCTTATTTTTGACATCTTGGAGAGATAAAAATTACATACGACTATTTATTGGCCTAAGTTCAATTAAAATTTGGGGCTCTCAGGGAGCCAAAATTAAGGAAATAGTAGTTTGATGTGTATTTTAAACATTCTGCAGGGCACCCAGAGACAGAAGGGCATTTCTATTTCTATTTCTATTTAATAGCAACTAAAAGTATGATATGGGACATAGAAGAGAAATACAGTTTTACAAAGCTATGCTGCCTTAAAATCAGAATAAAAATGCAATTCTTCAATTTTCTCTCACCTTTTAGATTTCTGCTTCTTGAAACCAAGCCCTTGCAACTGATTTATGTTCCTACTGTCAGCATATTTTTAATTGTGGTACACATGCAATACCAGACTGCCGACCCAGAGTATACTGTACAGGTCAGAAGCGGTAAGGCGGGCATTAAAATACATGGTTTAACTAGCTCTCTTTTTACCACATATATTTTTTGTTTATTAACGATAAGAAAATTCTTCCCTCAGTCTACATTCCCAATCAGCAGGACTAAGAGTAGTCATAGCACGTCAGATTTGCAGCCATACATTTTTGGTAGGCACCATGGCAAAGCAGAATTTTAATAAAGGAACAGATGAAGATGAGATAGTTTTGCAGATATTTCTTCCCAGAAGTGAAAGGCAACCCTGGGGCAAGCAAGGAAGCGTTAGTCTGAAAAATCTAGCAAGATGGTGACAGGGGCTCGTAACAAAAACGGACTGGAGATAGGAATCAAATTCTAAAATAGAGTGAGAAAAATCAGGTTGGGTGGGGACAAGACTATAAAGACCTTCAAAAGCGAAACCAAGTAGTCGGTACCCAAATACTAGAGAGAAGGAAGAGTCAGTAAGTGCATGCATTAAAAAGGATCGCAGTAGCACAACAGAAAACTGCTTTTAACTACTGTGTCCTGGGTGGGCAAGGAAAGCTGTATCTTAGAGATTTTATGTAGAATGAAGACAGCAAACAATACTTAATAAATATGCATGTACTGATACCAGGAAAAGATCGCCAAAACCTGACAAAATAAAAGGGGGGGAGGGGGGCTAGAAGGAAAAAAGGCTGGTTTACTTCAGCAAAACGCACCTAGCCTTCCGAGTAAGAGTAACATCTGTGCAATTGCTCACACCCAACTGCATGTTTTGCCAACACCAGGCAGTCAATTACATCCAAGGACATATACGGTCCTGTGTAATTTTGCCCCGATGGTAGTATTTAGATGGAAACTGGAAAGGTTGGATCAAGGGAGATTTTTTTTTTTGTTTTAATTATTAGCTTAGCATAACTTTCACAATCTTACGCAACGTGTTTGAGTTTAAATAAATGAGTGACTAGTCAAGTACCAAATAACAAATGCTTGGCATTTACTCACTGCCAAAGGCATTTTGGGATGTTGATAATAGGGGGAAGCCTAGCAGATTTGTTTTCCTGAATGATTTTTAGGGCTTTTTAGTAAGAATGCTCAAAAGAGACTCTGGCACCTACATATCAGATAGAAAAAAATAACTTAAAACCTGTCCAATTAGCTAATTATCATTAGACAAGAAAAAACTGTAAAGAAGTTATTCTGTTTTACTGGATGCTTAAAATGCTTTAGAAAAGCCCTGTCTATTTACATAATCATTCAGCAGACCAGAAACGTTGTTCTTTACAACAGTGCCAAGGGTAAACAGAACACTGGTGTTTGGGGTATGTGAAGTGAGGATCGACTGCAAACCTTATATTCCAACTTTTCAGGCTCATGACCTTTCTGGTGAAAGCTGCAGTTGTCTTGCAGACTATAAGGTCAATTTGACTTTTACTATTTTAAAATAACACACCAGAAAAAAATGCAGAACGACAATGGATCCATAATGATTTCTCTAATTAGATAAGATATTTTCTTAAGTATATGATGACAGGGTGTTACAACTCCTAGGAAAACGTGACATCAAGTGACAATTTTGTAAATAGAGTAGTCAACACCTGCTCGATGATGTGATAGTAAAAAAGTAAAAAAATCAATCCAACATAACTCATGCCGGTTCTGTTATGGACTGCAGCATCAATAATCTACAAGATAAACAGCTGTCCAGCAAACCATAAAATGCTCAACTAAAATGGCTTCACAAAAGCAATTATCCAGATTATGGGGACATACTAAATCTAAGGAATTCATGCTTACTGTAGATACAACGTACTATCATGTGTATTAGTAAAAAAGGAAGAAAAATGAATGCAATCAGAAATCCTTTCACGGGATAAGATTACACAGCAAGTGTCATAAAGCAAATTGGTTCAGACTGAGGTCTGTTTTAACAACATTTAGCAAGAATGTAATTCTTTGTAAACACTAAGGACTGAATGATGGCTCAAGGCCACATTGGTGACTCCTGCATTTCCTCTGCCTTAACCAGGGACAGTACCTTTGAAAATCAGGAATTTACTGGATGGTTTTTTGACCAGGTGCCAGCTGCATTCCTCATTGCTACCCAGCTGAAGTGGGGAGGCAATAGGGATTTGAGTAGAGAGATGCATTCCATCTGTTTTATTCTATGAATTCTAATAGAATTCTCACAAATAATGACACAGAAGTACAAAAACTCTGGTAGCACAGCAAATTTTAAAATATGATAGCTGGAGAAAAGGGAGGAGGCAATCATGAGCTGGATGTCCTTTAGATTTTTGCATATTGCAGACATTGGCACATCAAGGCCCTAATTAAAAATACTTGTATTGCGAGTAAAATATAATTCTGATTTATTAATCTTATAGATGAAGGAAATCACACAATTTTCCAAAGCGCTGTTACAGACTCACTGGTACGCACACGAACAGGAACTAGGTTTCTTACTCTTGTCTCTTAGCTGCAAAACCATATGCATGCTGGTGCCCCAAAGCCACCCAAAAAGAGAGAATTGAGAGAGTCATGAGAGACACATTTTATCTCAGCCAGACCTTAAAGGGTGAGGGAAGGCACCACGAGTCAACTGCAACTTGGAAAACATGACGTCAGTAACATCCCTCCTAATGCAACAGTTTAGAGGGAGCCTAAAGCCAAAGTGCCTAATTCCCTGTGATGAAGGGTATTACTTGGTAATCCAATGCTTTATTCATAGGGGTTTGAGAGATTAAGGGAGAATTTAAGATATTGCAATGAAACAGATATTTTTGTATGCTACAAAGGCGTAAACTGCAGTCTTGTTTAGTTGTTTTTATTATTTTCTAAGTCTTTGAAGGCTAAAAAAAGACTTTATTTCATTTTT